CCTCCTCCTCCTCCTCCTCCTTCTCCTCCTCCTCCATTCCTTTTCCTATATCATTATGCAAAAAAAGAAAAACTTCTCCCTATCGCACCCCGAGGCCAGTTGGTAGGGCGGGCCGGGCGTTTCGCATGATACTTCCTCACCACTTATGACTCTGAAGTTTAGGAATGGGCAGCAGCTTCACAGATGGAGGGCGGGCCGTTGTCAAAATGTGGCTCTCGCCTTAGCGCGGCGCACATTCGTTTCAAAAAGTACAGGAGCTTCACGGATTTGAGGGCGGGTGGTTTTCAAAATGTGGCTCTCGCCTTAGCGCGGCTCACATTCGTTTTAGAAATTTGCTAGAGTTACACGGATTGAGAGCGACCCGTTTCTAAAATGTGGCTCTCACCTTAGCTCGGCGCACATTCGATCTAACAACTTGCAACAATTTTACGGGTTGAGGGTGGTTCCTTCTCAAACTGCGGTTCCCGCCTTAGCGTCGCGCACATTCGTTTACAACATTTTGAATAATTTCACGGATTCCCATCGTCAGCGTACCGGAGACTGTGCTTTGAAAGGATTTAGGATTATGCGGGTGCAACCGTTACGTTGGTTCGCTGTGCTGAACTCCCAGGAATGTCGTTCTGGCATGATTCAGGGTCGTCAAGACGCCACAGTCAGGTTGATCCGTGGTGCCGGAATCCCGGAAACAGTGATTGGGCATGCTTCAAGCGGCTGCCTTCAACGAGGCAGTTCCCTCAATAGAAATAAACCGCTGTCTGGGGCCTATGATGAGGGAGCTTGCTTGCTCTTGATTATGAGGGGCCTATTCACCACCGTTGATGCCTTGATTATGAGGAGGGGCCCATGAAGAAGGAGCTTGCTTGCTCTTGATAATTTGGAGGGGCCTATGAAGAGGGGGCTTGCTTGCTTGTAGGGGCCTATGAGAAGAGGCCTATTCACCACCGTTGACGACTCTTGGGCTTACACTGGTCCTCCTACTCCTCCTGTTTACGTTGGCTTGCTTGAGCCGTCGCGTCAACCGTCTCCTCCTCCTCCGCTTTATCCTCCTCCTGCTCCTCCTCCTCTTCCCAGCTCTGGAGTCCGTTCTGGGGTGCGTTCTCAGAAGGGGACTTCCAAGTTTTTAAAACCAAGGCCCACTGCACCAGAGCCCAGGTAGATGCGGGTGCTACCACTGAGTGGGAGTACAGAGGGAACGCCCACGCCGACAGGTTTGCGAAGCTCGGTGCTGCGGAGCACGGCGTGGGCGAGGAGCAGTTTCAGTTGTGGCATGGCTTTTTGGTTTTAGCCCAAGAAGCCGCCCGATGGGCGGCTTGTGTGCACGTAGAGTCCAATGGCCAGGACCACGAAGATTTGATGGAAGCGTACTGGAGGTCTCGGGGCTCTACTGCCGAGGAGGACCCTGAGACCCCAGAGGACCCCGAGCCTGTGCCCCAGGCGTGCAGCCGTGGTGGGGAGGTGGGGTCGTCGTACGGGGTGGGCGACGGGTGGGAAGAATATGCAGACGCCAGTTTTTGGTGGCAAGGCCACAACCTGCTGGAGGCTGATGTCCTCAGCCGCACCGCCCACGTTGCTTCTGTCGTCTTCTGTTGCCGCTGTGGCACCGTTTCCTCGGACGGCAAGTTATCTTCAGGTCTAAGGGGGTGGTGCCCCGAGAAGGCCAAAGCTGGAGGCGTGGACCAGCTGCGGAGGATCAAGAAAGGAGAGTTCCCCTCGTACCGCGCCAATGTGCGCTCGCTGAAGGTCGGGAAGCCGCATGGAGTGCTGCCAGCGACCCGCTCGAGCCTAGCCGAGGCCGAGCTGAGCCTGCCCCCGGAGCCACAGCCCGCGGCCCAAAGCGTCGGGGCCAGTGGCGGATGGGGGCGGGCTGATCATGGGGGGCGGGCCGAGGTTCTGAGGGCGTTTGGGCTGTGGGAGGGGGAGCTCGAACTGGTCCGCGACCTCGGCCGCTCGGCCCTGCAGCGGAGCGCGGACAGCCCTGAGGAGGGCGACTCCGACGCCGAGCCATTCTGAATTGGGGCTTGACCCCGCGTTTAGCGCAAACCCATACCATACCATACCATACCTCCTCCTCCTCTTTATCCTCCTGCTCCTCCGCCTCCTCCTCCTCCTCCGCTTCCTCATCCTCCTCCTTCTCCTCCTCCTGCTCCTCCTCCTGCTCCTCTTCCTCCTCCTCTTCTTCTCTCGTCGTCCCTCCCTATTCCTGCATCCCTCCCTCCTCTATCCCCCATCCTTCTTACCTCCGCACGTGAGGGAGCGCGCACTCGTCCTTCTCATCATCTTGTTTGTTCTCCTCCTCCTCCTCCTCCTCCTCCTCCTCCTTCAGTGCCCCGTGTTGTGACCACCTTGCATTGCGCTGGGTGTCCGCTGAGGTCAGCCTGTATCTCGTACAAGGGCTGTCCCGTACGCGCCCCCAAGAAACCTTGCCCAGCCGCCTCGGCATCATCCTGCCGATCCCCCTCCTGCTCGTCACCGATCGCTCGGCTCCAAGACAGTGCCCCGC